CTCCACCACAAACTGAATGGACGCTGGTGAATATTTAGTACAAAGAAGCCAAAGGCTGAAATACACCCTCCTGGCTGCCTGTGGGAACAGCAGTCTGTCCCCATTCACCAGCTCCAGAATCCTTCTGGAAACAAAAGAAGAACATTAAGTTACTGCAGCCCCATCTGCTTTGCCACATAGCAGCAGGGAATCCCACTCTCTGCATGCCACTGGCTGCTCAACCTTTTGTGAGTCAAGCAAAGCTCTAGACTCATCAACATGTACATTTGCAGGACACAATATACAGATCTTTCCTGTGGTTTCCTAAATTATTTATAAGATAAAGGATAGACTTCAAGTGGAGTAGAATTTAAAGGAAGGAGGCGATTCAATTACTAATAAACAAACTGCTGCCAGATCCCCTGCTGGGGACTTGGGTTGTGGAGGTAATATTTAGTTCTTACAGACAGGGCAAGCTGGGGGCTTCTCACAACTGTAGTCTCTATAGCCATATGTGTTTCACAACCCACTTTTTTTTTTTTTCAGCAAGTTCTCCCAGCAATACCCTATGGAATACTACACAAAAACCAGTTTGCATTTAACCATAGGTTAAACTGATGCATTGTGACACTGCCGTTGAGGGGCCGTTATCCTCTAGTAATCATCTGTCATTCTTAATTATATGCCTGTAAGTTAAAAATCTAATATGTTGTGACAAAACTGTGCAATTGGAGAACTGCAGAGTAAACGGTTTGCCAAATTCAAACAGCACTGGACAGGACATTAGGTTTCAGAAAGCCATGCTGGATTTTCACCACAAAGAGAGAATTCTTTACAGGTTAAAAACTAAGTAAAGTTGGGGTTTTCAAATACCCTTCAGATGGAAGGCTGGCTGAACCACCCATTAAGTTATCATGAAGGCAATGCTACTTTCAGTAGATATTACTTTTTTGCAACTTATTACATCATTGATAAAAATCACTAGTGGTCTTACCATTAAATATTTTTGGATGTGCTGGAGGATTTGAATGGAAGCATACAAGAAAACATTCAAGTTACCATCTGGGAATCTACTATTTTTTGTAGTAGAAAAGGTGAACTGTAGTTACATTGAATCTTTTCTTCAACCGTCAGAGGCTGACATGATTACCAGACCCAGGCTATTATAACAATTTTTAAAATGTTATAATGAAATAAACCACATCTCATCTTCCATTAACTTTTTAACCCCAAACACAATATAAAACTTTATCTGAAGTTTACCTGCTCCTTATTGAGACTGTGACAGTCAGAGACTAATAAGCAACAGTCAGGAAAAGGACTGGATAGATGAATTAGACTCGGGTCAGCATGAGAAAACTGTGTTATAAAAAGATGCCATTAAGTATCCAGGGTTAAAAGGAAACAGAAGATTCACATTTTTATCATTCAAAATACCTGTGAACATTTAATTGATAAAATATGATAGGCACAAGACAGACACCCTGGAATGGCTAATGCCAAATCTTAGCCAAGGATGAGATTCCTGCATAGACTGCATTTAAAATAAAGAACTCGACATCACAGATCATTTTAGAGGCCAAAGATTTAGCAAGATTCAATGAGGAAGCAAATAGGTCTAGGAATGAACTCCACATCAGAGCACACTCCCATCACTAGCAGTATAGCTGGCTATTTAAGGCCAGCCAGCTGATAGAAGGCATGAAGAACACTTGAGGGAACTTTAGCAGAGGCTCATCCTCAAACAGTTCTGCTGGGAGGGCAACCCTCTTTCC